AAAAAAAAACTGTTGGAATCATTAAATCCAATAGAAATTTCAATTGGAAATCAATTCATGCGCAAAAATTCGATAAGAATTGAAATTTCCCAACTAAATATTTATAACACTAAAATTAATGTAGAAATATTAATTGTTGCAATATATTGTCATTGGAATTTGATTATTTTCTAGTGATCACAATTAATTAGATACTTTTTTATTATTTACATCTTTATTTTCTATCATTATATAAAGTATTACAATATATACTTCATAATATCTATATAGAACAATCCAAGTTGAAAGCTTTCACATTGCACCCTTATTTTTCATAACCATGAACATATCCATTGAAAAATAATTAAGAATTATAAAGACCACTTGTTTGTTTACACACCTTGTTAGTTAATAAGAGCAATACAAAACACCTAACTTATTATTAGAAAAAAAAATGTGGCTTTTCTTATAATTATTGTTAGCTTGCACACCACTTGTTTTGTCCCTAAAACACCAATTTGATCCCCCAAACAACTTTGTTTTTTTGCTATTTTCATGTAAAAATTAAATGTTAACCCAAATTTTTAGGCCACCAAACTTTCAAAAACCACAATTATTAAGTATACAAAGGAGAGAAACGCTCACCTACCTACTGTGGACACATGTTAATATGCCCACCGCGTAGGTGGCATGCACTCATTGGTGATGTTTTTTTGCTATTTTCATGTAAAAATTAAATGTTAACCCAAATTTTTAGGCCACCAAACTTTCAAAAACCACAATTATTAAGTATACAAAGGAGAGAAACGCTCACCTACCTACTGTGGACACATGTTAATATGCCCACCGCGTAAGTGGCATGCACTCATTGGTGATGTTAATATATTTATATAATTATATCACCAATTAGTACATGTCACCTACGCGGTGGGAATATTAACATGTGTCTACCGTGGGTTAGTGTACATTTCTAATACAAAGGATACATAGCTTTACTATAATAATAATAATCCTTAACACCCCCTTTGACTTTATGATCTTGAAATAAAGTAAAAATGCCCCCACTTTTCTTAACTTATCTCATTGTTGACTGTCAAACCTTGTTTTCTAACACAAATTTAAGAATCAAACTATAAATTTATATTGTAAAATATTGTAATTTTATTCTTAAGTATACCATTTTAGTATAAAATTGTGAAACATTATATTTTTATTCATGTTGTTTCTTCATATATAACATTTTAGTATAAAAAGTTAAAAACATGCAGACTGCTGAAAAATAAAAGTAACGTAAGAGTTCGGGTCTGTTTTACATCAGAATTATAATCTTCTGAAAAAATAAGTTTTTGCTACTCCAATCATTTTTCTAACCACAATATACATTACAAGAAAATGATGAAATTCCAACGGAAATCTATTTCAAAAAAATTATTCCAACGACAATTCCAACGGATATTTCAATACTATTATTTGTGTCGGAATTTTTCAGTAGATTCCAACGGAAATTCCAACAAAAATATTCCGTTGGGGTTTTCCATTGGAATTTTCATTGGATTTTGACGATTCCAACGGGGTGGGAATAAAAATTCTAAAGGAATTTGCATATTCCAATGGAAATTCCTACGATAAAAAGTCGTTGGAAATATAGTCGTTGGAATCATCAAATTCACTACAAGAAAATGATGAAATTCCAACGGAAATCTATCTCAAAAGAATTATTCCAACGACAATTCCAACGGATATTTCAATACTATTATTTCCGTCAGAATTTTTCAGTGGATTCCAATGGAAATTCGAACAAAAATATTCCGTTGGGGTTTTCCATTGGAATTTCTGTTGGATTTTGACGATTCCAACGGGGTGGAAATAAAAATTCCAAATGAATTTGCATATTCCAATGGAAATTCCTACGGTAAAAAGTCGTTGGAAATATAGTCGTTGGAATCATCAAATTGCATCTAAAATTCCAATGAAAAACATATTCCAACGGAATATTTCCGTTGGAATTCCGTTGGCACTATTCAAACGGAAGTAATACCATTGGAATATCTGTTGGAATTTCCATTGGAATATATTACTAATATGACAATTATTTTGTAGTGATACTTATTAATCATCACAATAAACTTCACAGAAAATGTATCATTTAAATTTCACATTATAAATGCATATAGAATAGACACCATACAAAAATCATATAGGTGAGCATATGTAGAAAGAAAACTACAAACTGCATAATGCAACACGTTTTACAAAGTAGTGATCAATGGGCCAATTGTATAGAGACACAAAATTTTGTAGTATTTGCATAATGGGACACCTGTGAGGATTAAAATGAAATTTGATAAGATTCATGACCAAAAATGATAATTAAATCAAAATAAAAGAATAAAAAAATGTGCAACCAAAAAAAGAATAGAGTCAAAAGAGGTGGGCCTTTGTTAAATTAAAGAGAAGAAAAAAGTTGAGGGACCATTTAGCATGAAAGGCATATTCTAGTGGTGCCACTAATAATATGCCAAATTGTTTTTATATTTTTTGGGAGAATTTGAAGTCAAATTAATATGATTCTTTTGTTGGTTGTTTATGGAGATGTTGCGGTCTCGTTACGTAACCATATTGTCGAGGTTTGTAACCGTTAGATCAATTATTCCCAACGGTTACATAATTATCTAACGGTTTACAAACTTTAACGGAATGGTTCCGTAACGGGACCGTAGGATTTTACCATACAACAAATGGTCAAATGACACATTACTTATTATTACTATTTAATTTAATCAATCAATTTTTAAATTTCTCCCCAAAAAACCAATCTCTATCCACCTTTCCTTAAAATACAGATGAAAATGGACTTATTGTTATCAAATAAAATAATTTTTTATTTTTTACATATAAAAAGTTTAGACTGTAAATATATTATTTTTAATTTTTTAAAAATAAATATATGTAATTGATTGTTATATAAGACTATGGAATCTGACTTAACTAACTTACTGCCCAATTATTTATTTTATTTTACTGGTCAACCAAGTAATTGTAAATCATTGTCCAATTTGACTTCAAACAAAAAAGCTATACCTAATCCCATGGTCCAAAATGTATGACAAAAATATCAATGGTCAACTGCTTATTTTATATTTTTCATTGGACCCATTTTATTTTTCTTTACATCTTTTCACAGGGGATTATCAATAAACCATTTTATTTCATAGTTTTCTTGTAATATTCATGATTAATTGGAGCAAATTAATCTGCAAAGACTAGAAAACATGAAAAATGTAGAGGACTCTGAATAATAGTTGAATGGCCACAAATTTGTAGTCTCTTTTTGAACAAAAAACACATAAAACTATGTAAGCTTCTCTAAAATCTTCATCTAATAGAACTATTATTAGACTGTTTATATACTCCAAAAGACTCTACTTCTTCGATTTTCGATCCACCTCGACAAGAAAAAAAAATCCGGCTAGTAAGGGGCCGACATTATCCATCCGCCCGACCAGCGAATGTGTTAACACAACTCCAAAAATCATTATTATAAAATTATTTCATTATATACGAAGTTACATAGAAGGGAAAAAAAAATCTATCGACGCCCGCTTGCCCAATTTCGATTGTTGTGGTTGCCGGGCCTCATTTGTGGATTCCTCTGAACAACACTCTGTTTTGGGAGGTCGCGCAATTCCACGACTTGTATCGTTCGTTGCTTTTTGGCTGTTTAAAAGTTTAAAATTTAAGACACATTATTAGAAAAAAAGTTAAAAATTTACAACACATTTGCTTAGTACATTCAACGGCAAGAATGAATTTTCAGTCATGTTGGTTCAACGCCATAGCAATTTTAGTCCAAAGTTCTAACTTTTTGCCTTTTGGTCATACGACTTAATATTTTGTTGCAAAGTTCAGTCATTTAAGGACTGGAATCGCAATAAAATTTTAAATTACAGGACTGAAATTCCAATCGAATTTTATATTATAGGACTTAAATTGCTACAAAAAATCTATAAATCTTGGAATTTGTTGCAATTTCAGTCCTCAAGTGACTGAAATTGCAGCAAAATGGTAAATCGCATGACCAACAGGCGAAATGTTAAAATATTGGGACTGAAAAATACTATAGCGTTGAACCATCAGGACTAAAAATTCAATTTAGCCTACATTAAACCATTATTAGAAGTTCAAGAAACGAACCATTCTCGGCTTCTTGGTACCGTTCTTGCAGTTTCCTCTTGGCCACCTCCAATTTCATATGAACCGAAACTTCGTTTTCACAATTTAGCTTCTGATAGAAAATAATAAACAAACACTATTAATAATAAACAAATTAACCAATAATCCTCCCTATATATAATTCCAGAATGCGCGAGCCTACGTGGCTGCTTCTGGTGCTTCGGAATCCTATTTGGCGAAGAATCATGCTTCGTAATTAGGTTTGGACAAATAATATTAATATATTAATAATTAATAATCTAGGTTCGGGTATTCCATAAATATTATTTAGCTAACTTAGGTATTTTAATATCACTTTTACTAATACAACCCTTTAATTATTTGTAATTTTACATAGTGAGACACTAAGTGACTAATATATCCTAAATTTTGATTTGTTTCCTTCAATAAGCTATTGAATTATAAATGTATTTTAAAAGTAGATAACTTTTGTATTTCTTATCGGTTTTACATATATAATATATCAAATTAA